TGTTACCACCACGATTTAGCTCAGAATTGCAGCTGGGTGCCAATGAGACTGATGAACTCAGCCAATACATTGAGTGCACACAAATATTGTTTCTCTACAACCTTTCAAACGAGTTTCGTTAGCGCTTATATTTGTGTCTATGCTTTGACTCAGTATGTTGTGAAACTATTTTAAACTTGTTTTTCTGCCCACTGGTTGTGTCACCCAAGCGCTGTCTAAGTTCATAGACATGTTTCAAAGGAACCCCGCCGCTTAGATCTTCTATATCAAACGCGACTTGTAGCTGAGAGAAATTACTACATTTGTTTGGCAGAAAATGTAAATTGTTGTAGATGGGAACGCGCAAAAACTTCCAAATTTGATCTATCAATGAAAATTAAAAGTTCATGGTTATTCACAACTTCTAACTACGAATCCAAATACACTTTCACCGTAAGACGCGTTAATTTTTCGAAACATTTAGTTTAAAGTGACATTTGTAATTACAGTTTGTTATAAAATATACTCAGGCCCGTTTCACAAAACATCCGATTAATTCATGGATTTTAATGATTCGCACAGGTTGTTGGACCGCAGAAGTGATCAAGCGAGGTCAGTTACCATCACACCCCTTTTCGAGGTTGAGGGTTTTGATCCATTCACTGCTGTGTAATTATCCACATATTTCTAGGCCAAATGACATTCCATTAAGTTCATCGTTTCGTATTTCAATCAAGTAAGATGTAAAATATACTGCATTCCAGGAAATCAGTGAAGGAATAAAAAACAGTAATGATTTAAGTTGCTCCGTTTATGGGAGCGTGCTACATGATTTCTATAAAATAAATTTACAGTTTGTAACCTCATTGATTGGTAGTTTATAAGCGTCCTCTGGGTTTTGTCAGAAATGATTAACAACGAAATTCAATAAATACCCGTAATTCAATCCCAGCATAATCGATGGGTCCTTTAATTCCCTACACACGTTTGGTTATTGGAAATCATCATAATCAGCATGTTGTACGTGGTTGCTAACATGTACTATTTACCCAGGGATTCTTAGCACGGAAAAAGAAAACGGAAATCGTGCAGCTCTTCGATGACCGACATATTGGTCTAGGGAAAGTGAATCTGACTTTGAGAAAGTCAAGCCATGTACCCAAACCACAAACAATCCGAAGGTTTGCGGATAGGGTCCCAGAATGGGCAACACCGTACTCGGTTTCGGCCGCGAAAAAAGCATTACAGTTGTACGTTTCATCACAAACAAATTTGGTTTGATTATTATTCAACGCTTTGTTATCCTAAATTACTGGCACCTAAGAATAAGTAAATCAGAAACTGTGCACAGCGATGGTAACTGTTTAAAAAGGGTTTTTGGTGACAATAATAATAATAATATTAATAATTTAAATTACTATATGCATGCACTCAGAGCCGCTAACCTGCCTATTAAGAATGAGTCGCTGGACTGTTGAACCGAATATTTTTCAGTTCATGCTTACACGAGAAGATGGAGAGAGAAAAAGAGAGTAATACTAATCAATTCCACAAACAAGAATAAATTTTTATATGGAACTCTATTTTCTCGGTTATTTCTCATGATGTCACTTCAAATCCATTGAACGCAACTGAAAGGAGATGTCAAATGACGGTTGACGGCGTGAATTAAACACATGCTGACTACAATCACCTATTTTGCCGCTTTAAAAACATCTTGAAAACGGGAACGAATAATGTCCATTTTCTTGTGTTTGACTTGCCAGTAGTTCGTAGATCGAGAACGACCGTATCGCAATCTTTCTTCAGTGCACGAAAAACAACCTTTTGCAATCCTGAGCAGCAGTATGCAACAACTCATCGATTTCCTTCAATTGCAATTATTGGGCGTTACGATACATTGGTTCACCTCTAATCACATTCCACTTGTTTATCTATCAATTTAAAACTTTGCCACTGTGCATGGCATCATTATTACGGTGAGTTGTCTCAAAAGGCACAGTGCTTTTTCACCCGAGGATATTTTCACTTAATGATGCCAAGACATAGGATATCCGCATGGAGCAAACTATGTGCATCCAGTTCACTTCTTTCGACCAGCAGATTCTGTACACAATAAAAATCCTATTGTTTTTCAATACCAGCATCCATAAAACAGAACCACACACACAAGCATAGATAACCATTTGCTAGGGGCCTCACCAGGCCATTGAGCATCCAGGGTAGGCATAGGTCAGTTACTTCAGTCAAAAATCACCAGTCATGCTGCATATATATGTGGGTGCGTGCATTTGTCCTTACAAGTACGCTGGTTCACAGAACCACTGTGCGGATTGGTGAATCATAATGGCACTTGGTACGATGACGTTACGTCACTCTGGCGTGATTATTTTTGGAGTACTGAAGTTTATTGACCCTAAACAACCAACTGAAAAGCAATTAAGACCGGTTTCACGGATACCCGTTTGTCATGTGCATGATTCTTGCTACCACGAGGGAAATTGAGTTGTGTTTTCTCCATTCCCATGCTCGAACTATTTACTGAGACATTCTAGAGTAATGATCATTGAAACGGAATCTTTCTATTGAGTAGAGGATAATAGTAAGTACTGAAGGCTGCTGAAATTAGTCTCTCTATCATGTGGATAAGGCTTGAGCGGAGTTGGCTCGATTTGCTGCTTTTCAACCCAGAGCACGCTGATCAACGTGAATGGACTGAATCGGATTTGCATATCATTATGTGCAAATAACGTACATAAGGAACAAATTACCACAGATGAAAACACTGAGCTACATACAAAAGAGGTGGAGAAGAAAGACCTCATTGTCAAACTGAGTTTGAAAATACAGAAAATTGAAGTAAATAAAAAGCACTTTATTAACAAAAATTGATGACACTAATACCTTTTTTGCCACTTGAGTAATTATACTGCTTATTTCGAACTAGATCGGCTAGAAGTTTAAAAGAAAATCCGAGATAACGTACGCCTTTCAGAATCCAATAAGGCTTTTGAAATGAAGAGGAAACACGTCATTTCCCTTCATGTTTTCCAGATTGCTTTTGCGTCTGACTCTCGGAGGATTTAAACGTTTTGTCGAGGCACACTGTAATTCCTACAAACATCAGAGAACGGAAAGCTTGTCGTAACTGAAGAACTCGACTAATTAACGGAAAAATCAGCGCACAATCTTAGCTCGGAACGTGTAGGGGGTTTTGCGTACGACTTGTGGCCTCGTATTTCATATGCATGTAATCATCTGTTCCATATTTGGTACTGAGCACTTGGGACAGGTAGTATGCCTCAGATAATGACAATCATATTTCTATGCTCATTACATTTTACTTTATTGAGACGCCGTTGCCGTTGGACAAGAATCTTAATACACTCCTGTAATCGGATCGATCATTATGCGCAACGTTTGTGTGCAATAATATATAGTATGTTTCAAAGTACTATGTCTGTTCAATTACTAAACCTTCTTATGGGAAAATTTTACAAAGTCAACATTCGTGCTGCAGTAACTTGGAACTCCAGTCATAAACATGATGCTCTGATCTGGAGAATCTACGCAAAAAAAATGCAATGCATCCGATGGAACTATATCCTTTTCTGTTTGCTTATTTTGTTACAGTTTATCATCAATTTAATGAACAGTTTACCTTTTCTCATTTGCCTTTCACTTTCTGTTCAGGTAAACAACATTGGTTCCTGAGAACTGAATGCAGTGGTATATTAGTTGATATAAGTAATCTAATTGCAAACTAATTTTGCACATCAAAAACAGAAATGTTTCAAATTATCCCTGTTTTTTAATACCCGGTCAACAAATGAACCTTTTCTTCTGCTTTTTGCGTTTATTCATCCACATTTTTTCTTCTACCTAATGCGCGTATACATATTGTTTTTGACCAAACATTCATAGTGTCAAGGTCAGTCATCTCCTGATGAGAAGCTACCATACCAAGCACAACACATCAGGATTTAGCGAATCACTGTAGATCACAAAAAAATCGATTTCCAAACACACACAGGGGATATACGTCTGACGCAAAATGCTCGTTTATAGCCCTGTCTAGGTTAGTTATTTCCAAACTATACGTTTATGCTTCTGAAAATCGCTTGTTGGCGAAAGGCGATTTGTAAACGGTTCACATTTTTCATTCAGTGCAAAGCCAATGAGCTGATTGATGACCATTTCTAGCTTCAATAAACTGAGGAACTATTTGAATATATAATATTCACGTCCTTTACCTGCGGTAAAACAGAGATAAGTTAGCTACACCGACATTAGCCGCCAGTAGAAAATTCTGTTTTTTTATAGTCAACTTGGTAGACACCGTGAAAAGAGGATTGGCTAAAGAACTAGAAAATACGGAAGGGCAATTAGAACATTGAAAATATGAAAGAACAGTACTTGTGTGACGCCTATGGGCCATATTTCATAAATCAATCGCAAGCATGTCTTCNNNNGTCTTCTACTAAGGCTTTGCTGTTTAGCAATTGATGCGCAAGCAATTATTATGAAAATCGAGAAATCATGCATATTAAAGCAATCGACGAATATAAGTAAATATATGGGTGGGTATAATTCCGGCTATGTTGCAATATCATGTTCACTTGTGTAAATGAAGCCCAACGCACTAAGCGTTGGGAGGAATAAATGTGATGAAAATCAGGGTACCGCAAAGTTTTGATCAATACCTCCATATCATCGTCCGACAATGGAGATAATGATGGACAAAAACCGCCACCTATAAAATAAGACTGATAATCTGCCTAAAAAAGCTCATCAGTTATTAGATACCAAACACTAATCACAAAAGTCCAGAAGATATGGTTATCATTTTTTGTTAGTTTATTTTTGTGTAAAATAGCATATACATGGGTGATGGCAAGATATAGATGATATAAAATATTCTTCAGTTTGTGAAATCATTTATTTGGCTTATTGTTTTTGTTGTAGTTTCTTTCTCATAGGTCTCTCCCGTGCATATGACCGCGTAGTCCCACTTATTTGCACTACGCAGAAGATGTTCTCCACACGACGCACACAAAAGGTCCGTGTTGGAATTGCAAGGAATAAAGCGGTGCATGTGAATAGTTCATCCAATAAGAGCNAACCACGTGCCACACTTGACCGTACATATCTTCGAGGAATCGTTTGAGTTTCGTCGCGACCGCGCTCATTTGTTTCGGATCGTTCTTGACCTCTTTGGCCAAAGTAACGAACCGATCGGTGATCAAGGCTTTCTTCGTTTCAGACATACTGCAGTCTATCATTTTGATACTTGAGTCTACCTTCGGGGTCATCGCGGTCTTTTTATAGTCTCGTTCTTCTTTTTCTACAACCCTGGGTAGAAAACAATGAAAGGTGAATATGCGTTTTAGTATGTGGATTTCTGAGACTATTACTGAGTTGGTAGACAGTGAGTGATCCACCAAACCTAATCTTAATTCAACACAAATTAAATAAACGTATACTCCGGTATCAAAATGCATATTGCTTAAGCAAAACAACACTAATTACTTGACACTGAAGGCAGTCACTGGAGAGTTTGTTGTTGTGATCACTGAGTTTGGAAAGAGATGCATCACTGTAACTGAATGCAGGTGTTCGTATTCACTGGTTTCCGAAGGTGTATGACGAAATCGAAAGCCTCGCTCAGTCTTTCCTAAAATCTCGATTAAAAATTAGCTTACATCTCTGAGGTTAACTAGAAACTTGAAGGGATAAATCTCAGCATCAAAAACAGTGGTGTGATTCATTTTTAACGTGCATGATGAACTCTCATCACTCCCTCCGAAACTGTTATGTATCGAAAACTCGAACGATACTAAAAGTATGCAGAATATTCCCACAGTTTCACCATATGATGTGAGCTCTCAACGCACATTTCTCTCATGCCCGTGTTTGTAACAATGATTCAGTTTTGCCGCCTTTACGCTTTGCACTTACCCGCCCAACAATGTACAATAACAATTTTAGTGAAGTGTTTCCAATGTCATCTGAAAGACGTAAAGTAGATTCTTTTGGTTGACAGCTGTTAGAGGTTTCTCTTTTTAAGTTATCTTTATTCTTCCCAATCTCTTTGCTAATCACAACTATAAACCGTTCAATGCAGCTGGAGTTAATTCACCTTTTGGTTTTTGTAATTGAGATCAATCCTTGATGGGTGACCGATGTGGTGTTCAGTTTGAGTGAAAGTCTAGCTAGTGACTAAAAGCAGTCGGCAAATAAATGAGTACGTTACAGCACCGTTATTAGGTGTGATTCAATGTATAATTAGATCAAGGACAGCTGTGGGTCAGTTGATCATTATATTTCCATGATTACTGCCTCATCCATGGGATCTGGTCCGCATCGTATCTGAAATAGGTTACTACTTGATTCGGCGACAGTAAACATGGGGTTATGCTTCGTCGTATCCTTGATTTACAGGTTGGGGTCACAAAAATGAAGATTGTTGTTGGTTAGAGATGCTGTGAGATATGGCTCAGAATAGGAATCAGTGGCTCGAATGCTGCACGGTTTCCTTGTCGATAGCTTGTTCCCCGTAAAAGAGCGACAAACTAAATATATAAAACAAATATCAAAAAGCGTATCATGAAAGACACAATACCTCCTTTTGTTCCGGTTAATCGCCATCTTCCATTTTAACTGTTTTATCTTCGTTCTACCCTGTGCTGCATCCCAATTTACCCATCCACCGTTATGTTTACTAATAATACTGTTGTGGCGTTGGAATCATGTTTGTCCGCAAACATAATTATATGTATGTTGATCAAACCCGTGCAAGATCACTCTCGTTTCGAAAATACATTTGATTCTCCAATACCATACTTCTATATTGCTGGCTATGTATAAGGTGTATTATTCCTGACTTTGTCTCCCAATATTTTGTACTTAGTTCTTTTCTATGCCCATTTTAATTTGTGCAACCTTGGCTGTTGCGATGGGATTTGTATTAGTTCGCAAGTTACAGCTAAGATCTCAAGAATATTTATGCAAGGCAGCATGGGAATTCATCCGTTTTTAAAAAGGGTTCCTGTTTCACGAGGATGTTTATTACGTTGAACACAAGTATTCTAAATTGCTTATCTCTTTTCACTCAGTGCACAGTAAACAGAATAATTACTGAACTACTCAAGCACAAATAAATTGATAGATTATGTGGCTATAAACGCACGCATTATCTAAAATATTGAAAAAACTAAAAATATGGTCCCAGAAACTTTCGAGTTGACCTTCGAAAAGTGACCTTGAGGTGTGCGTCTCTTTGAATATGCGTCTTGCTTTGTCTTCATACCCTAACCGGATGAAAGTTTCCAGAGATTTTGCCATCTATTTAAAGCCCAGAGACAAGTTAATCGAGAGGCACATAAGTCTGATGACTCAGTTGATTTCTTGTGCAAGTACTTTGATGTGAACATAGGTAAAAATTGTTGCATATTCAACGAACTTTCTCCATCAAGACGTAAACCGAGAAGGAGAAAACCAATCATATCAAAGCAAGACTATGGTTGTATTTCATCACAGCAGAGAATAACTACACAAAGCCAATCTGGAGGATAGTTCGGGCTGATTAGCCGTTTCCCCCTCATGCTTTGGTCTGGAAAATGGTAACTCAATTGAAAAAACTGCTGAGGCCACGTGATATAAAGCCGTCCAACAGAACAGAGCACACATTGAGTGTTTAAACAAATTCAAATCGCATCGCCCGTCCTTTGGCAATGGTTTTATCCCACTGGTGGCCAAGGAAAGCTGAAAGCTGATTTACTGAGGTAGTTTTCTAATGAATGTCGTTTTATCTGTCCAAAGATGTAAATTTACATCCCCCTTGACGAGCACCAATGGAAGTGAATACTGTGTGCCTTTTTGATGGTTTCCTGCAAAAAACATCCTGAATATCACATGACTTCTTGCACTGACAGGGAAGGTTTTTGGTAAGTGCTACTCTTTAAATGCATTCGCGGAAGTCATAATTTTCACAGATTAAGGTTGGTTTATCTTCTCGCTTGAAGTTGGTAGTAAAAAAACGGCTAGACCTAATTAAATATTAATTTTTCACACTAATACAGTTTCGACAGGGGTCAAGTTCAGTCTCAACTTTGATCGGTTACCACCCAGCAATAGAGTATTTAATTTATTCGAAAAGATTTCTCTGCATCATAAACGCGAATAAGTCCGCTTCCTCGAAATGAGCCGTCAGTGGTTAGGCTGCGAAGTGTATGACAGGAAACTGGTGCATTCTGTTTATCAGACTCCATGGTGAAGCGACTAACTCCACTGTTCAAAAATGAAGAAGATCCAATGGAACATGGGTGAGACAAAAGTACAATACCTGTACTGAGTACACGAGTCATTAAAAAAACCAAATTCTAGTTACGTTTTCTAGCATGATTTCGTTATTTTACGACTGATGTACTAGCAACAATCGTCAAAATTGCACATTTTTGTGGCACGTGGCGAGTGTTTATAAAGACAGAAGTTGATATCCTATATTATTATTAAAATGGTATATTATGTTATTAGGCAATATCATATTCAATCCCGTGAATTAACTTAGAAATACGAAACAGTGGGAGAAATAAATAAGACGAACACCAGGATTTTGCATGATTTAGGGCAATAGATATGTATATATACACCCACACATGCCTCTCCCTTTCTTGTACAGGAGAACGACATTCACTTCAAACAAAAGAGTTATCTTGCAAATCCATAAGAGGAATGAATGATCCTCTGATGTGGGTTATAAACGTGCTTATGTGGCTCATACGCAGAAAACAGATTGTAAAACCTAGCCAGAAATCGATCATAGTGAGCAGTTTGTGCGGCACTGTTTATACTTTCTATTGACTTTATGATGCCCCTACATTTAGGTGAAATATCATCAGGTACTGACAGATTAGTGTCAATCATTTTGTTTAGCGTTCTTCAAAGTCTCACCTTATGATTGCACTACCGCAAAACGTTTTTCTCAGTGTACAGTGATTTAAAGAACCCTTTATTTAAAAGTTTGGAGTAGCCGATTTTAATTGCTGGGATTAAATCATTTCAGAAACGTGAATAACATAGCACGCGTAAATGAGAAAACAACATGTAGACAAAATCTCCACTTGAAATTGAAGGAGTTGTTTTGATTCTCTGTCTAACTATTCAGCTATCTATGAACATATCAAACCACCGATCTATCAATCAATCTATTCATTCCTTTATTTATCTGTCAATGTATGGGTCTTTAGATCTATCTATTTGTATGTCTATCTCTCAATCTATTTGTTTTTCGGCGTCGTTGTGTTCATTTGTAAATTTTTGTAGTAGTTTGTGTAGGTTAAGTTTTCACGTTTATTCACTCTGGCGACTTCAAGCGTATCTTAGAGTGAACAAACTGACTACCTGTTGTCATCTCGACGGGTGCTCTTGAGAGAGGACGTGCCAACAGTGTGATTATGGTACCCAAATGTAAAAACTGCTGCTCATGAGTTTGAATGGCGCAACAGGTTTAGTTTATCGGTGCTACAGTTTCGTAATATGATCAGCTCTCAAATAAGCATCAGCAAAACCATGCTCATCTTCTTCTTGTTTCTAAAACATGAGCAATACGTAGAATGCGCTTGTTTTATCTTTGCTCAGTTGCTCACGATTAAAACTGGAAAGGGCAAAACATAGGAGCCTGCGTAATGTATGTCAAGTATACCATGTAGTCGATGGAGACTTCGTAATAGTTTGACGCATGCACCATCCCGCGGCTTTTTTAAAATGTTTCCTCTGTTCTTGACATTCAAACTAACCCTGGCAGTATCCATATTGTAAACTGAGCGTTTCGCATGCAGTGACCACATTCAAACGAAGGCGTTTGATACACCACCTTTGAAGTAATCGAATGAGCGCGCTGATTTATATGTAGCGGTCACATGTTTATCCGTCATCTTGATTTGTGACCAATTCCTGAGTGTTTTTCTCCCACATGTTTTGCATATCGATTAGACGGAATACGTGATGTCCAAGTGGAGCATGGTTTGGAACACCGGGGTTTAAACTGCGTGTGGTACATCTATAGAACAGATAGCTCATGCGCTGAACAAGCTCTATTTGTGAAACACCCACATATATTCATTAGTCTGCTTAATCCAAAGCATGTTACAAAACTATTTGTGGCATTTGATGATTTAACTGAGCAGTTTTAGTTCGTGACTCATTATTCTCATACCTCGGCTTGTGGCCCATGAAATTCAAGCGAGTAAATTTGTGGCGTGCAGCTGACCATTACCGTTAGTGGGCAACTACCGGTATTAGCTTGTGTCGCACATGTTACCTGACTTTGAAAGTGAACGTTGAGCAATGAAACGCAAAAGTGGTTTACAATCCTGATCTCCCAGTAAGACTAAACATGTGACACTGAACATTCATGTAAAATTAGTACAACTGCACTGGGTAATTTCTCCCTCCGATGGAGATTTTGAAATGCGTTTGTTCAAAAGAGGTTTGCCATTGTTTATTGAATGAACCCTGACATTTAGATCAGGCAGCACGTCTCTACGCCTTGGTAATGTGACAGCTGTTATCGACCTTTAGTGTGTTGCTGACTTCACATTAAACCAGACACCGTCTCTCAAATAAATTGACTCAGTTAATGTCCGGTCGCGATCAATGCAAATTTCCTTTAACAATATTCAGATTACCACCCGTTGTTTTGTAATTTTACCTGACTTTACATACTCTGTTGAGTATAAAACACTCTTCCCTATTACGCCTGATCGCCGAGCTTGGCAATTTGTTTGCAAACGTTTCATCACCAGCCGGCTGGTGATGAAACGTTTGCAAACAAATTGCCAAGCTCGGTGAACAGGCGTAATAGAATTGAGTTCACCCGAGCTACGAGAACCAATTTTCAATACTTTGTCAACGCCCTTCCCTATTAGAAACAGTGTTTATTGTATGCTCAATGAAGTAAAACAGGCGATGTCTTACGTGACCGGACAAACCACGTACCCCAAGAAGCACACGACAGTTCTTACAGTTAAATGCTTCCACGAGATATCCATGCTTGTACCGTTTATATTTATCACGATGGAATTATTACATTCCTGTTTCTTGTGGTCAGAACGGAGTCAGTTTTACTTATGAAATCAATTTGGTAATTTGTTGGAGATTTTGTCGACCAGATCAGTTTTACCTCGAAATAACTGCAGCTTTGAACGTGTACTTGCGGAATATCATTGTCCACTCATTGAAGTTTTATGTCTCATTAGGTTATCCAAACTTGAATTATTTAATCAATATACTTTCGTACTTAGTACCGGACCTAAACATCCCAAATCGTCATTGTCTTCACGATCTCGAGAGCGAGCACTTTTGGCGGATCAGTTTACAAACACAAGGATTGAGAAAGTGTAAAATTTAGGCGTGGATCAACAGAATGAAATATCTCTTTCCGGATATATATGGTGTGTAAAGTGGAGATAAGCACACGCCTGTTCAACGGGAAAAACGTTTGCGTTTACGGTTTTGCCGGTGAGCAGAAGTATGCAACATATTCACAGCACCATTCATTTGTGCTAAATACTGGGTTAGCCTGTGTTACACATTGTGATGGACATTAAACTTCACTCACATCTCATCATTGTTAAGTCCCAGCCCATCGCAGAATTCATCCAACGAAATTTTTCCATCCTTGTTCGTATCGTATCTGGATAACCATTTCTTTGTACAGACACGTAATTTGACGTGTGCGAACGATGAGCAACGGGATTTAGACCGACCGGTAAATCAACAATATGGAAATAGAAAGAAAAAATGTCATTCATCTGAAGTGGAGTAAAGGTCTGCTTAGCTCTTGTTCTGCAATCGTTTTGGAGGCCTTAATGAACTCAAATTATCCCTGTTTCCCACGTTCTGTGCAATTTGACATCATCGATGACAATTTCACTGAACATTTCAGGGATATTTACTTAAAATAATGCAAGACACCGGATTCAGTTAACCCTGCTCGACCTGCGGCATACTGTTTTGAATTACGCGCTTTCTGATTTTACTTGATACGAACGACAAACCAGTATTTACCAATAGTAGTATCATCCTAAAGGATGATAGATTTCACTTGCGTTTTCAGTACTGGGATTAGAAACAAAATACCTCAAGGACGATCTGACGATGGTCATACCCCGCTCGATAATGTTCGTCCATCAGGTATCAATGAAGGTGATTGGTTATCAGTTGACTACATCTCACTACTAGTGACCTATGAAAAATCATTCGCAAACTAGATGCCTAAAGTAGAGCAAAGGAGTGATGAACTATTATAAACACCGATAGTGCATCCCCGGAACATACACCTATGTACTTTTGTATGAATTTATGCTTGCAATTAATGTGAGCAGGAGAACAGATCAACCGTAAACGATTATTTTACTTATTTCTCAGAACTGTTTTTATAAAAATTCTCCATTAACCTGGGTGAGTCTATTACAGAAAACCTATTAAACTTTACATTCGCAAGCATTCCAGGCTCACATTGGTTTTTCTCTGTTGAAGATTACCTCTTCAAATACTCTATAATCAATGTCACAGTTTATTAGGTTATCAGTGCCGATAAGCAACACTACACACAATGCTGTGTCAAAACCGCCTGTTGAGCACACAAATTCAATCACGTCATCTGAAATGGAGTAGCTGTTAGTGCAAACTCCGTTCGTGCCAAATCGATGCTGCAGCATGTTTGTTGACGTATCAGACTGTAAGCAAACAGCATACAGCTTACACCTACAAACAAGCTTCCACACGTTCAAACAAAAGTTCACAAAGATGATATCTTCTTTGCGTGTGTATACAAATACAGTTATCTTCAAGTGAAGTAGGCAGTGTAAAAGTTCAATACTACTACTACTACTACTAATACTACTAGTAATAATAATAATAATAATAATAAAGAAAAGCGTCACGTGCTGTTGACCATAGATTATAATATACATTATAAATTCGGCTTGATGAAACTATTTTTATTCATTACCGATGGACATTGTATATCTTAGTTTACGTTTAATCGAGGAAAAGCTCACAAGTTTTCTATTTGGTTTTTATCCATATGGTTTCCATCCTGCACATGCAAGAGAACTGTTTATTAATTGCGACAAAGAGATTTTGATTTATGTACATGTATAGTTTTGTAAATATTCTCAAACAAGTTAACATAAAATGTCAAAGTAAAAGAAATCTGACTGATTTCATTGAAGTCATTTAGTCATAATCTTAGGACAGAACACCGAACGTAAAGGCGGTGACACCGCAATAACTGATAAAAGTAGTCAACTAACCTGCACTTCTTTCATGTCCAATTTGTTCTCTTCACATGCACTATTTAATTCTGCCATGGTCACGAAACCATCTTCATTTTTGTCCAACGACAAAAATAAGTCAATCATTTTTTCCAAATCCGAACTTGAGCTGGTCATTCTGATTTGATGTGATTATGCGCACAGGAACTAATCAGAAACGGTGGAAAATGAGTACTAAAGATTCTCCGATGCAAACAGTTAGGTAAGGTGGATGATTGCAGTCTCGGGGTTTTGTTTTTTAATTCCAAACCAAAGTGTTTTCTTGCGTTTGTGTCCTTCGTTGTCTCTGCTTACGTGTACCTAACCGAGCTTGTCGCATTTGAAGCGTTTCACGAATCCCGCCGCGCGGATGCACGAGAGTACACACGCACATGTATACACACACTTAGGCATACGTTTGGCGAGTCTCGTGACTTTAATCGGATTGGTTAGCCGAAAGTCAGCATAAAGGTAGAACAATAATCGATAGGCTAGTCCACAGTCTATTGTGAATTTTATTAAATTGGCACTCAGACGCAAACCACGTATTTCTCATCAACCGCATCATAACGGTTCAATTCAAATTAACCAATCCGGAAGAGTATTTATTGTATTTATATGCACTGATTTGATCTGGATTTGGTAATCTTAATTGACGCAATCTATGACTTCAAAGTTGCAAAGACAGGTGTGATGCGTGATCAGATAAATATGGAAAGAACATTCGCTTAAATATATGTTCAGAGACTGACGAACCCAGTAAAATACGTTTTCGATTCAGCACGGGAAATACTATTTGCGCACAGATTGTTCAATCGGCAAAATGCCTGATCGTTTATGTTTTCCGCTTCCGTTTCTGTGCTCAGATTGAATTGAATAGTATAAAGGTTATCGCGTTTGCCTTAGAACGAAATACAAACGAAAACGGAAAAGAATTCATTGCCAAATCGTTTAGCGTTTTACCATAACTCGTTGTTACGTTGTGTAAACTGGTTGAAATCTATACCGGGGAAATTATCATTTCCCCAATAGTGTTTCTTAAAGAGAAACAGTATACTATATTGAAGGGTTTTACAGGGCGAATAACAACAAAGCAGCAGCTTTTCAATGTAGACTGAAGTCAAAATTTACGCTTATGGGTCAGTCAACACTTCAGCGGGTTGCAGAAACAATGCATCTGGATTGCAGTTCCTTTATGATCTAATAATCGCTATAGTTTACTCGAATAGCGTACATTTCTGATGCTTGAATGAAAGTACTTCATAGACAACAAAATATCTGGCACTACAGTACTCTTTTCAAGAACGTTAACACATTCACATTTCACGGCACAGAACTTTAATTAAGAGAGAATAGGTTTCAAATCACCATAGCAGGGTGACTAGTTGGTAGAGAAAATTCCTGCGGGGAGCTTTTGAACAAAATGCAAAACCTTAATTCTGCACTTGGATGTGGATTAGTGACACAGGAGGAGTTTTGTAAGGAACAGTGCTTCATAAAGATCGGTGCTAGACAAAATTTTGGAGTCACCCAGGAAGGTTGATGTGTTGCATAATACTGGATCTTGTGAACATATGGAATCGTAGCAGAAATCACCTGGGAAACATACGCGAAACAAACAACCTGGTAATAAGCATGGGACAAGCATAGGAAGGTAATTGAATGACGATGAACCAGTAGGTGACAATTGTATCCTAGGCTACCCACTATTGGAAATGTTTCACACGGAATACAGTCCACAAGTACAGAACACCAATAGGTCCCGTCCCGAACACTGAGCGTATTTAGACGTTGTATAAGTTGCGAGAAAGAAAGAGATGCTTGAGAGGGGATGAAAAACTGGTTATCACGGAAAGATAAGAAATCTTCCCTGAATCATTGGATACCATTTGACCAAACTAAGGTAACCAACCA